TTAATTATTCTACTGATGTAGAAAGAGCAGATTCTTAGATTTACGTAAATACACTTTAATTCCACTACCATTATTTTTCAGATTAACTCAAACTAACGAAAAATGTAAATAAGTTCTGTAATCATTATATGAACTTATTTTTAAGATAAAAGTTCACATCATGGATGATAAATGAACACACCTAATACTTACATAACCTACCTATCTGCAATTCTAAACAATGTTGGAATACCTTCAATCTATCAAACAAACGTTTTCTACGGCTCCTCAATACTCCCTGATCCATTTGGAAACCTCCAGGGACCGTATACTTTGTTTTAAATTAATGACATCCATATCTCCTGATCCGAGGGAATAGTCCTTCGTATTTGTCATATAGATTACGTACTTTTTCTGTTTCCGACATCAAATTTATTTGATTTTCTTTTATCTTGTCATCATTGGAATGATTTCTTATTTACCCATTGTTACGTTCATTAATTATAATTTCCTACATATCCTTGTAATGTTAAAAATGAGCCATTTTCACGGTCTAGAATAATTAATATATATGTACTAAATTTAATTAAAATAAATTTAGCTGTTTAAACAAGAGTACCAACTTTCACGCTTAAACGACTGAATAGCTTTATTATTACATATTTTGTATACCTTTTTTTCTATTCCACTGAGATGGCAAACAAGCATACGGCCCACCTGATGGTAAGTGGTTACCGTAGCCTATGAACACCTGCAATACCAGAGGTATTACGCGTGCGTTGCCGATCCTGAAGAAACCTCTTTAACCCCCTTTTGAAGAACTCCAGGCTGTAGTCTCTTGGGAGAACCTCGGCAGGAAGCTCATTCCACAACCTGAGTGTTCGTGGGAGGAAACATCTCTGAAACCGCGCAGTACGCGACCATTGAGGCTGTAGGACATGAGGATGAACTCCCTGTCGATGGCGAGCCGTACGATAGTAGAAAGTGGCTGTGGGCATCATATTGAATAATTCCTATAAGCACAATCCACTGTACAGGCGGTAGAACTAAGTACAAAAATAAAATTACAAAAAACTAACGGAGTTTACATTTTTTAATTACTTATGTCTAATTATATATCTAAATTAACTATCTCTTCTATATAGATATTTATAGTTTATGGTTATTATGCAATTAGTTCATATTAGTCCTTACAATAAAGATTTTAATTTAACAATAATGTTTAAAAGAAATTACAACGATTTATGAATAAATTCGCTTAATCTGAATACCTGACGTCATGGCAAAATTTATTTCTCAGTGATAGGGGAGGTTAACGAGCTGTAGGTGTTCCCCGTTAAACCTTCCATAAACTGTGCTAATGTGACGTCATATTGCATAAATATAGACCTGTGAATATCGTAAAATGAATAAAGTCCTTCGCGAAAACATTGATCGAGTGCGAATCAGATTTGGGCGCAAAAAGTTGTTTAATTTTCATATCATATCATATCATTTTATATCATAAAATAACAGTGTATAAAAATAGGAATAATAACAATATGGCATACCAAGATTGTTTACCACATACGCCAAGTATGAAAACTAATTTATAGATAAACCCACACAGTAGGTGTTTAGATAGCATCTAGTCGGGCGAAATTAATTTATAATACATAAGGATACGTTTACTACGTCTCCTAATTTGATTTATGAGCAGTAATCAATTAGTGTGCTCTAAACTGATCAGTATATAAATGGCAGTGAAATCAAGATATTTGGAATTTCGTAAAATTCAGATATAACCACAAAATTACGGAAATTAATAACAACAATTATTTTAACTATTACATTTTCGTACTGAAAATCCTAGGGTTATGAAAAAAATACTACCATATTTTAATGACGCGTCATTTCACTAAACTCAATCTAATAATAAATAATAAAAAAAATATTTCTTTCAGATTTAATCAAAATTAGGTATAACTTAATTTTTTTCATAGCAATGGAAATTTATTTAGTTCCTGAAATTTTCATTTATACCTTATAAAACATAAGTTTATTCGTAATTTTGTATTATTAAGATTCAATCTTTCTCATTTTATTTTAGTGAAATCACGTATCTAAAAATGTGGTATTATTTTGTCATTATTACCGGATTTTATACTACAGCAATAATTACAGAATTAGTATCAAATCAAATTTTATTATATTTTATTTATTTAAAATAAACATACACTGTGTTCTGTGTTTTATATCCAAATGTTTCTCTTCACATCATAACAATCTATTATATTGCTAATGTTCACAGCGTCATGGAATCCTATATTATAATATGTGATGTTATGGTTTTCAATAAAGAAAGTAGGTGCCTCGCTATTTCCAATACCATAAAAAGCACATAAAATTACATTCTAGGAAATGCGTAAGTAACTTGAATTTTATTAGACATAAAATGAAATGAAGGGACAAATAGGTACAGTTAACTGGTCGACGATCATCGAACTGCTAATGGGACTACGCACTTTCATTGTTATTGGAAGGCTATGCTGTTACCCGTCAATATACTTATATTAGATAGGTACAGTCTTTACAAAGGAAACTACAGAAAGGTAAGGACGAAGAACAATCCTTGGTGTACATTTTTGATCGCCATAATAGAGCAAATTGAATTACACGCTACAAAGCGCACGTGTGTTTGTACAAGTAGGTAATTACACGGCTGTCACTCTACAAATGTTCCTTTTTCATCTGCGCAAACCTTAAAGACTATATCTAGACTAGACCCAATTCTGAAATGTTTTTTATCTATTATTTTTTTTTTTATAGATTTCAAAGTTTTGAAACTGATACTTTTTAAATTTATTGTCTGACTCTATTTTTAACCCATTTAAAATATAAAGATCTCAATTTGAAAATATGTTTGGTATTACTGTGCAATGTCATTCTTGAAAAAAATTGTTGTTCACGGTATTAGTCATATAACATTAGTCATGAATAGCATGTGATTATCAACTGTCATTTAATCTAACCTTCTTTACATTACCAAATGCATAATTATCACAATAAATACTTGCCAAGCAATGTATAAGATTCTACAATAACTTAATATAAATCTATGGAACAAGTTACCTGAACAGTACAGCATTGTTCACTCAAAGCATATTGATTTAGGGGGAAAGTAACACTCGGTAACACTCTATCTTGAATGGGAGTTCCAATGAGCCGAAGTTAGCAATCTATTGCGAAACTTTAACGTAAAATTACATCTTTACCGCTGATATTAAATTTCTGTTGTCTTTCCTAATTTATGTCGGCCTCTTGGGACCTTATTACACTGTAACGTATTGATTCCTCTATTGAGTTGAGTATTGACATTACAGAAGCGATTTAGCGTCTATGAAATTGGAATTCGAATGACATAAGAATATCTTGTTATATAGTGATTTATTGAACTTCTATTAAAATAAAGTATTACATATGGGACCATAACAAATCCTCTCAAATTGACCAAGCGTGATCGTATAAGAGTGTAAAAGAATTTGGTTGTTTGTAAAAATTTACGTTATATTACTGTGTAATTTTTCCCCTTAGATTAATTCTACAAGCATATAGTTATACATGTAAATATACAATGTTAATATTTTTTATATATAGACCGGTATTTTTATAAATATTAGAGTCTAACATGGACCACCTACACTTTTCTATGTCTGTAATTTTCCTTTTGCCTTTGTCTATGGATCAGCCACCCAAATTTTATAAACACACTTTTCTTTTTATGATTTTTAGTGCGTGATAATGTTTTAATAGTTTTGTTTATTATCCTTGATTTGTTAATAGAATTGTATTTAAATTAACGTTATTTTATTATTATATAGTTTCGTAATGTTTAAATGCTACAAAAAATTTTAATATTAAATTATTGTAATTTTTGTATTCAATATTTGCACGCAATTTTTCTTTGAACTGTGATAAGAGTAAAATAAACGACTAACAATTATATTTAATATTTAGAATAGGAAGGACGGTTTTAAATCCATTGTAAATTAAATGGAGATTAGGTTCATCAAGAAGTGGGTGATAGCGCCATCGACAGGTGCTTCCAAACTTTCTTAATAAAAACGAAATTGAATCTTCAGAAATTAATTCTCTTCTGTTTTTTTTTTTTTTGTTATTTTTAAAAGAGATATTTAAGATACGTAGATAAAAGACACATTACGATTTTATAATTGTTAAGCATGTATGCTGTCATAACTAGATTCCTAATTTTATATAATATATGGCTGATAAGTTTAATTTTAATTTGTATAAAAACATTGTTTCATTATTACGAACTGAACCCTAAAAAGTAATTTAGTAGTAGACATTTTGTACAAAACTTGCTGCTTTAATTTAGTGCGGATTGATTTCGTTGCAGTTTGAAATAAAACGAACCGTGAAAGTATTCACCAACAATACTATTAAAGGAATAAAAAATTTGTGCGAATAGCGAAACGTAGCATTGAACGTAACTAAATGCATTTGACATCTTTTTATTATATATCTGCTAACTGTACCCGCGACTTTATACGCGTTACCGAAATAGGTAGCTGCCAAATTTTATAAAAAATAACAAATATATTTACAAACTTTAAATAATAATATTAGTAAGAGTTCTTTACCAGAATTCTAAACTTGAACTACGCGAAGTATATTTATTTAAACCGCACCCAAGTGACAATAAATACAGTGCCGATGCTTTTGTGTAGAATATTTAGATAAAATAGTAAAATTATCTTAATTTTTACAATTAGATAAAAAACAAACTCGGCAATTTATTATATTTTTTTTTTATAAATAGGCAAAAAATCTGCTATCATTCGACAACAGCTTACTCTTTAAAAATGGCGTATATTTTAATTGTATAATTGGTTTATTTTATTACAAAAACCGTAATTTTATTCATTTATATTTATTATATTATTAATAATTAAATTCCAGGCTTTCGTACATATAACAGAATATACACAAACGTACATTTACAAAATAAATACCGGACATTTGAATATTGATATCTAGATGTATATATCTAGAAAAACAGATTCGTTGTGTAACATTTTGAAGTTGTTTTCGTATCGCCGTCGCAATATTTATTAGTCTATTTATTCACCTCTTTGATAAAATACTGCGAAAATTGAATAAGTCATTCTGGCAACCTAAAAAAATAATAAAATTATTCAAAAGCAGTTTTATGGCTAAATAAAAGCAACAACATTTTCAGCCGGTATAGATTTACCGATTTAAGTGTAAATTTTGCATAGAGAAAGGATACATTAAAAATAGTAGGAAACTGGGACAATGGTAATAGATATAGTAATGATGATATAATTGTAAAGTATATGTAATAGAAAGGACATACACACTTCAATGCAATCTTAAATTTTATGAATTATTGACATTATGACTTTTTAAAAATAATAACAAGGTGTGCTATAGATTCATCTGAGCGCAAGGTTTCATAGAATCGCACTATATTACATTACCAATAAGTAAACAATAATTTCTTATTACAACTAACTGAATCTTCAAAAAATAAATAAACAGAATGCAATATTTTTTCAAATTTTCTTTCATTTTCAAAGTAGTTTGCATTCTGTTAGGATACCTCTTTCGCACTCGTGTTTCTGCTGCCAAGCGGCTGTACTCCCATTGGCTGTATTCTGGTTTATAGGCTGAGATAAAGCAGTAAAATTAATGGGTTCACCGGCATAATTCCCTAATCTTTACTAAAAGCAAAGCTTAATGGGCTACTTTTCGCTTTACAATATATTCTATAATGTCAGTGATGTAGTCCATATATGTAGGCAACACAAATATACACTACATCATATTATATATTTTCCAAATAGTTTTAAAAAGTATACCTTAGGAATATAGACAATGCTATCTAGTTCTTAATTAAGTAGAATTTATACTATTATATTTATATAAGAATTTATTATATACGAGTATACAAATAATTTTGACCACGGACAGACCGATCTGACCAATACAAATAGACATAACCTACAGTCCTATTTATTGTATTGTTGGAAACGACATCACAACTAAAATACGAAAATTAGTCATATTTGAAATATACACTATTTAAGTTTAGTTTTTGTGTCACAGGTTTTTCTAACTGAAAAAGCCCGTCTTTCAATAATAATAATAATAATACCAGTTTTTATGAGAATCCCGGAAATTCACTAATAAATCAAATTGGGCAATTATTTAAAGAAAACTACTAAATGAACCCTTATTATGAATAAGAACACTGCGACTAAAAATAATCCTTTATGATGTGGCTTTGTCAAATTGTCCGTCTGTCTATATTATATTTCAGTAACTATTATTTTTATCAATTTGAAATATCGAATAAATAGTTTCATATAAGAATATATAACACCATATTTTTTTTACTACAGTATAACACATAAATAGATCAATTTCACTCGCATTTCTATAATAAAACATCGTCCAAGATCTATAGCGAGTTTTGTATTCATTCGTAATACTTACTCGTATATGCTCCAAACGAAATACATAAAAAGAGTGGGTATGCAAACTCACCAGATCATAAATTTTAATTCAGTTATAACCAAAATATTATTGGAATATATTTCATACAAAGATAGCATAAATTTATCTGTATACTTCAAATAAATAAACAAAATACTTCGCTAAAAGTACAATGCTACCGTAACAACAACACCTTGTTATTTTTTAAAATACCAATATAATATTAAAATACCAATTATTTTATTTGTAATTTTACCAAAAAAAAAACTATTGTCTATGATTTCAGAACACAAATGAATATAGAATGTTAAAACTATGATGTTGATATGTATGCTTTAAGGAATTTCCTCTAGTCTAGCTAATTTTATTCCTACACGATTTTTTATGTGAATTCTTTTTCTAGAATTTAAACTAATTCTACAATGCTTTTAGGTATATTAATTATATTGGTTTTATAATTAAAAAGTTTTATATTATAAAAATACCAATCAGTTATTATAGTTAATATAAGATCTGCTTAGCTTAAAGAACTAGATGGGCCTGTGTGATATATCCGAAACCATATTATGAATAATTTTGCAAATATTCTCTATCATTACTGACGTAAATAATTAGATCTTACCGAAACAAAAGTTTCATATGACAAATCCTGTATACCAAACGCCTTGAGTATCAAGGGCTTCTGTGCCTGAGCGCAGCTGATCAATACGAGTGGTCTGATATCTTGGCGAAAATTTTCCAGTTTGCTGAGGTGCCACCCGCAATAAAATATAGAATTCGCTAATAGTGACGCCTGTGGGATAAATATGAATTATTTTTAATGATAATGTAATTTGAAATGGTTATTAGCATTAGTATGTAGATAAGTATTTTCTAATAGAACATAAGAACATTATAAAAAATGGCATCACACACATATACATTTACACTCACACTTCGAACCATCCTTAAATTTGTTTTATACTGTTATACATTATGGTACCTAATAAAATACAAAATAATAATGTTTTTTCATATTTTAACCGTTCTAATATAGAAGTAGACAATTGTAATAGTAGTCTTAGCTATACATATAGCTTAATCTACTTACCTCATTGTTTACTGAATTATTTATATATTATTGAGATCTAATTGAAAACTCTTAGGTTTATCATGTGTTTAAAAATGAATTTGCATAATAACCAAATTTTTAACTTAACTATAAAATTAATAATAAATCGGTGTGATTAACATTTACTGATAATATATACCAACCTGATAAGTTACCTCTCCCGCATTCCAAAGATTAAGCGCCAACAACAAAAACAAAGATCCAACGAAAGTGTAGGTCATGAAAGCATTTATCAAATCCATATGAGGTGAGAGCTGGAATAATGATTAATTCATAGGTCTATCTAAATAGAATGTTAATTATAGCAAAAATATTGCATATGATAAAAAAAATTAGAGAACCCAAAATTTTTATGCCTACTATGTTTATATTTGACATCCTTGATAGATGTTCGATTATAGTATAATACAAACATTCACGAGTATATCTGCTTGTATTTATCCAGCTATTTATACGTATCTATTTTTAAGAAAAGAGATTATTTCTAATAATTAACTAGTAGCCGTAGAAGAACCTTTTCTTAGCTTGAAACTACATGGTTTTCTGTAATATGTCTACTGGGATTTTATTATTTACCTATACGAAATTATCTTATTGGGCACAAAATAAAATTAAAACATATCCATATTAATTTAATAATTCTTTGTTTGTTTAAATTTAAATAATATTTAATAAATATTTATATTCAAACAAGTAGTCGATCGACACAGCCAACTAAAAACTTAAACATGAACAAGTTCGGAGTCATGACTTCCGAATTTAACTTTATTTCGTTCGGAGTAGGGACTCTAATTTCACAGGATCCTTGTGTTCGTAGCTTTGTGAACGAACTACAGATCCTTTTAATTGAGTGCATCAGAAATACCCAGACTATTACACTTTCTTTGTTTAACGGGTTAACAAGGTCAGTGAGAAAATATTGCCAACGTGTTGATAAAATTCCATGTGGACCTTATGTTATCTTTACAATTTCATTTTTATGCTTAAATTTAAAATAATATCAAATCCTGTTGTCAGTGTATTCCCTAATGGAGTAGTCAGAGACATTTCTTGAGTGTTGCCACTGGTGAACGTAAATTAAATAGTTTTCTTTTTTAGAACATTGATGCTAATAAATCCGTAATGAACCCCAACACTAGCGTAACACTACACGCTCATTGCCACAAGTTATTAATTAATTAATTAATTTTAAAATATATTAAAATATTACATATTTTTACATTAATGTAATGCATAACAATAACTTAGAATCAGTTACTTACCGCTAAACGTAATAAGAGTAAAACCGCCACAGCGGAACTTTCGCAAACTTGGAGTGACATTATTATTCCGAAAACACGATGTATTTCATCAGCTAAACTAGATAACATAGGTATATAAGTATATTAGTATTAGTTATTATTATATAGATATATTTTATACAGCAAAATACTAATGGAACGATACAAAACAAGCCAATGTAGTATAAATACCAATTTTAAATAAGGATCTAATAATACAGCTACCAGCTAATACCTACCTACAAACACAACTGGGAACAAATATTTTAAAAGCTTCGATTTGAAATTCTAAACTAAGACCCGGATGAAGTTGACTACGACTTCTTTTTAGTGGTGTTCGAGTTACAGCATAAATTAAATTTACTACAACTATTTTTACTTACAATAACAGTTTCTGATGAATTAATATTCCCTCTAAACAACCAGTCTTGAGCTTATCTATAGCCATTTTTTTATCTATAACCAATATATCATGATCAAATTCCTCTCTTATATGTTCATAGTGATGACACAGTGTAATAAACTTATATGACATAGTGATGAGATGAGTGATAGGCAAACAGTCAGCTGACATCATCGGTAACATCATATACAGCCAAGTTATATAGAAAAATACACGGAAAAATGACGCTATGATCGAATTGTCTTCGTAATATGGTAAGTAAGTTACAACCGTATAGAAAGGTACACCTGAAACAAATTTAGAATAAAAATTATACATATATATTTTTTATTCTAAAGATCGAATAATTCATTTACATTTCGTGGTGCACAGCTGTGGAATAAACTTCCCGTGAATCTTCAAAATATTCCTTCTATCAATTCCTTCCAGAAAAGATTAAAATTGTATTATCATTCCAATTTCCCTTCATTACTTCCATTACTACTATTATTGATTATAAGACTTTCTTTGTCATCATTGTGTTCTCTTTTATTTGATATGCACATATTTTATATATTTATTTTTGTTATTTAATTTTCTGTTTGGCACTACTACTGCCGACTCACTACACTCCTTTGCCACTATATTAGGTTGACTGCAAGAAATCTCTTTTAGTGATAACTTCGCCTTTGCTTACTTTTTTACTAATTTATTTTTATTGCTGTATGTTTTAGTGCAATAAATAATATAACTAGTCTGGCCATAAATACTGTTACATAAAAACTTTTCTTGTTTCAACATTAAATTATTTTGAATTTGGAACACATTTATTATTTTTAAAACTTATTGCGATTTCGCGCTATTTTACCTATTTTTTATGTTCATTATCAAATTATAATATAGAATGGGGTATTAAAGAAAATAGGATTGCAGTGATTGCCTTGCACAAAGTGAGTATGCCATAGGTCATATTCCAGACACTTCAAAAGCTTGATATCAGCCGTATCTCGTATCCATATATCGTACTATCAACAGATACAACAATACTTCCTCTGTCGAAGACCAAAAAATATCGGGGCGGCCGCGTGCTTTTAGAACTACAAAGGTTGTTAATGCTGTTAAAGCTAGAATTAGTCGAAACCCCGATAGGAAGTAACAAATCTTATCGCGAGCAATGAAGATTTCCGCTAGGACTCTGTCATGTAATATAAAACAAGACCTGAAGCTCGGTGCTTATTCTCGATATACAGGACATGCCCTAAATCAATCTTTACAACTAAAGAGAGTGGATTGATCAAAACGCCTTCTGTCGCGATACGCAGGTGAAAATATCCTCTTTATTGATGAAAAAAATTTCACGATTGAAGAACACTACAGTAATTAAAATGATAAAGTATACGCTCACAGTTCTAAAGAAACTGCTGACGTGATCGAAAAAGTACAACGTGGTTATCATCCTGCGTCAGTGATGGTTTGGTACGGCGTGTCTTACCAACGAGTCACAAAACTACACTTTTATAAAAAAGGAGTGAAAACTTCAGTCAAAGTGTATCAAGATACAGTCTTGGATCGTATTGTGAAACCCCTCAGCAATACATGTTTTTTTTAACAATGCCGTGGACTTTCTAGCAGGACTCTGCACCTGGTCACATGACACGAATTACCCAAGCCTGGCTTGAAACCAACGTTACGGATTTTATAAGAGCTGAAGACTAGCCCTCACCTAACCCAGACCTCAATCGTTTAGACTTCAAATCATGGTCAATGTTAGAGGACATGGACTATTCTAACGACAAGGTGACATTGAGTCTCTTAAAAAATCTTTGGAGCAAGCAATGGCGAAATTTCCCTTAGAAACAATACGTTAATCCATAGATTCCTGGCCAGAGAGATTAAAAGCCTGTATAAAAGCCAATGGTGGCCATTTCGAATAGAATATTTTTTTATTTTTTACTGAGACTTTAATAAATATATAGGAAAAATTTTTAGTAATATTACATTACTACATAAAAAATGCATTTTCATTTATAACAGAACATATGGTTGGACTAGGTATATATAATTTCATCTCTAAATCATACTTATCAATGGGTGCTACTTAAATTGCTCTACGTAAATGTATATCTTATGATTGATTTATTACAAAATATTATTTTAAATAATATAAAAATAGTAATAATAATATATTAACGTTACTAAATGATTATACACAAACCTTTAAAAAGCAAAAAAATATGTATCTACTTATATTTTAAATTTTCAAAATAGCTGACTACTTTTTTTTCACATTATAGGCTAGTCTATACTGTGATAAGTAAAAGTGTAATCATATAGTACTTCTCAATATCCATTAAACCCTTATACCCGACCCATGTAATGTTATGGACACAAAATTGAATGAAAGGGGCCCATTATGATTCGGTAATGCTAATAAGGCAAACTGGCATAATATTTTCATGGACTTTTCGCCTCTTACACTCTGTTTCTGAGAGACTACATAACAATCAATTCACAAAATTTAAAAATTCAATTTTAAATTTTGTGAATTGTAAAATTTATTAATTCCAACAACTTTGTTAGATAATTTTTTCAAACTGCATTTTAAGTTGTAATTAAAAATTATTTTCCAGACACAAATATATGTAAAAAAAAAGTTAATTATAATATAAATTGACACGAATAAATAGCTATATAAGAATTATAATAAATTACATAAATAGTTGTAATATTTACCATCTACCAACACCCTCCTCGCGCTCGCAACACCATACGCCAACAAGGATAGATAAACTGATATTACGTAAGACATAATTCCAATTTTTGCCTTTAACTCCTGACGTCTCATATAATATTTTTCTTCTAATTTCTCACCAACAGTAGCCATTTCAAAGTTTAATTTCCTTATAGATTTTTTATGATACAATAAAAGGAACATTTTCGTGAGTACTATATTGTGTATAGCAAAAAACATGTTGGCCGAATTCTTTTCCACTTCTGGAAAGTTACCGAACAACGCGGCGAGGTTTTCAAGAAAAATCATTGTAGTGTAAATAGAAAAAGACACTACGGTATACAACTTGTAAGGCACAGTTTCGTGGTATATATTTTTGTACCAATAATTTCCAGTGCCAGCATAATACATATACTTGCAAACATCCCCTAACAGATTTTTCGTGTTGTAGAACATTTTGTTATTTAATGTAAAAAATAAATCTTGATAATTGTTGTGTGCTTACTATCGCAATATGTCAAAGAAAATGAAGTGAAGCGTTCGAAACAAAAAAAAATCTTTTAATTAGATGTTTTTACGGTACAGCTGTTAATTAGCCGTTGAACTTTTTACACGAGAATAAAAAAAAACATTAGACAATAAAATATTTAATGAGAAATAAATGAAAAGGGAATTCTATAGTTTTTACATAATTATATTTTGATGAAGTGCCACGAGCAATTTATGTTGTTTTCGTATTATTAAGAGTATTAAATTATTAATCACATAACGGACGGCCATTAATTTCCGTTACAGAAAATTGAGAAAGTTTTGTATTCGTGACATATTGTTCGTGGTTAATTAATTACGCAGTTAATTAATGTCAAGGGTGTTACATGTATACTCAATTAAGCTCCATATTCATATAAATGACGTTTTGATTGCTAGTCCGTAATAGAAATCAGTGTGTGTGTATATTTGTATAAATCAACCTCAATTTGCTTTAATTCATTAACTAGATGATTATTATTACGATAGTGCTTTTGGCAAATAAAAATATCGCAAAATAGATAAAAGTAACTAATTTATTTACGTTTTAAAAAGATTATATTTCAAACCTTATTAATAGCATAATAATGTTTGAAAACATTTTAAGATGCGTAACCCTTTATCCAACAAATTTTAATGAAAGATTTTTTTCTTTCGACAGTTTAATTCGACGAGATTTAAACCCACATCTCTCTGATCCCACATCTGTATCCTTTTTTTTTTTGTTAACTAATCGACTAAAATCACTCAGTGAGCTACGGAGAAGACTATGCTTGGAGTGACTTAGCGTGTAAGAATCCGAAATAAGGTTGTCCACAAAAGAACCAAAGTCACCTACATTACTCAAAGGAAAGCAAGCTGAAATGGTAATGGACTGGTCACATAGCTCAAAAAACTGTCAACCAATGGTAAAGAAAAGTTCTTGGGTGGCAACCCCGTACGGGCAAACGCAGTGTAGAATGACCCCCCACTAGATGAAGTGACAACCTTAAATGCATTGTAGGGAGTCAGTGGATGCAGGTCGCTCAGGACCGATCCTTATAACAGACTATGGTGGAGGTTCATCAATGGACAGATAATGGTTGAGATAATGATGACTCAAAAGCAACAGCCCTGTGGTTCCGCCACAGAATGGGCTACTCCGTTCTTTCCTGTGGATATCGTAAGAAGCAACTAAAAAAAGTTCATAGTCGAGGGATGAGCAACAATATCCGTCTTAAAACATCACCAAAAACCTAACTACGATTGCCAACCCACCTGCCAGCTACTAGCAAAACCCTCCGTTATGGAAGACTCCTGTATTCAGCAGTTGTCGATTAACGGCTGATGAATCAAAAGCAAATGACAACGCACATTAGAAGACCGACTTTTCTATCATATGACACTCTTTGCCAACACGATATGTCATCGATCGATCAATATCGATCATCGATTCATCTATTACACTTACCCGTGACTTCCAGGTTCATGTTTCAGAGACGTACATGAATATAGAGAAAACTAGAGGGTAACTACAAAAGTCGTCTGCTTAGCTTCCTCTATCCCACTCGTGTTTCTACCATGAAGCAGCAGTGCACGCATATTTGTATCAATTTAAAGGGTGAAAAATAACAGTAAAACTACAGAATGCAAAGGTATAGCACCGTAATTCTCAAATATGGCAACCCATGTAGTATCGTAATAATTCATTTCTCAAGTAGGTAAACGTTGAAGTACACCCATTATCAGATATATAAAAAGGCCTTAAATTATATAGATAGTGTCTCCATACAAATGCTTCAAAGAAAGCGAGTTTTTCATACATTTTTATGTGATAAATAGCTATGAGTGTTTCCTTTGTAACTTCTATATTTATTTTATAATTTTTGCATCTTTTTAATATCTACGTAAAAATTATTTTATTTATTAATAATTAAATATAGATACGTCAATATACATTATGTGCGTATATATGTAGAACACTGATACAAAAACAAGTCAACTAATTTACCTGACAAAAAGCTGACCCGTTTTTGAGACTCCATGCTCTATCTATATAATCTAAGAAAAAAGCATTTTCACACATTATACACTATATATTCTAATGCTACACAAACTCCACAATCTTAAAAGTGTATTTTCCTATAAAGAGAAATAAAGACGGTACAGCGAAAAACACTTAAACGATTTACAGTATGCGACCTGATCACGTAGAAGTAAGTAGAAGTAAATCTGCTTGACCAATAATACACCTTTGCCCTTTTACCAATTCGTATTCACCGAAGGTACGTACACATAAGGATAACAAAACTATTCGAGAGCTAACTGTAAACAGCTTTAACGCTTTTATGGGGATTAGTCCTAGAGCATCCTAATTTACATGTCTATTAAGTTCCGGATAGGAAAGGCTCGATTGGAAAAGTTTTAAATATGAATACGTATGTTTACTTGGAACCAATTTAATAGTTTATTACATACTTATGTATTTATTAATTTCCTAATCATAATCTCGTTTTCGTTCTGTCCACATGGATCAGCATATAAAATATCCTATGTATATATATATATATATATATATATATATATATATATATATATATTATATATATGATTAAGTAACAAACAGTCAAACATCTGTACAAACTTTCACATTTATAATATTAGTAGGATCTATTCACTATTGAGATTCATAACTTATATTATTAAAAAAATTTTCACTATCCACCCCGTAAAGAACTTTGTGTGAAGTTATAAGTATTGAATGGATAAAATATACGACCTTATAATAAAAATAATGATAAATAATAATTAAAAATATAATAGTTTTGGGTCTAAAAAATTAACAATTCATTAAAAAAACATATTATACGTGATATAGCGAGATCCACAAATAAAGAAATATAATCTAATAGAACTAGTATATAGGCTTCACATCTTTATAAAATAAATACAAAATAAGCAAACATGCTAGTTCGTACATGCCAACACGAAATACAAAAGCTATCGACTTCGAGCGCAGGGATTACAATTGTAAAGATAGGTACTCGGAAGGGGCGCCCGCCGACACCGACGTATCCCAGTTGGATGCCTATTCATTGTAGTACGATAAATCACAGCGGTACACCCGAGGAAACTGGTTTAATTCAAGCTTCGTCGATAGCCCATCCACCTATGCATAAATAACACCTAAACTCAAATCCCTAATGTTACGTAAATATTGCTTAAGAGGGTTCAGGAGAACACTGCAAACGTCTGCATTAACTCTCAAATTTCAAAAACGATTTATTTAAACGTAGCTTTGTAAACGGAACATAAATATACAACAACAAAATACCAACTCTTCCATAATTTAATTATGAAGGTAGGTAACCTTAGTAGTGTAACAGGTTCACACGCTATTTAATCTTCCGTAATTTGCAAATTCAATTCCTACAATACTCATCTATACTTATAATAAATCTGTAGAGATGTCAATTCTGTACATAAAATATATTTCCAAAATAACTATCAGGGGGTGATGAGTGATCGATACTGATGCCAAAAATGTAATCAGTATAATTTTTGTCTGTTTGTCTGTATATTCGTTATAGAAACAAAAACTACTCGACGGATTTTAACGAAACTTGGTACAATTATTCTTCATATTCCTGGGCAGGTTATAGTATACTTTTCATCACGCTACGATGAATAGGAGCAGAGCAGTAAAGGGAAACGTTAGGAAAACGGGAGAAGTTACTCCATTTTTAAGCTTCCATCGCGTGTGCAGCCTTAATGGCCACTTTTTAAAATGTAAAAATGTCCACCTGTGCGAAGCCGGGACGGGCCGCTAGTTGAATAATAATATTCATTATTTCGGAATTCTTTTCTTATTTTGTTTATTAATTGAAATTCAGATTTAATCTTGTTTCAATTTTTGTCGATCAACTTTAACTCTTTTTCAATGAAAGAGAGCGAATAACTTTTCTTTAAAACTTCTCCAGTTGTAAACTGTTTTTAAACTGTTTGGTAATTTGTTATACAGCTTTATTGCTTGGAAACGGTCGCCATGCTTAATATTGCACAATCGAAGTTATATATATAACTAGGGTAATTTTATTTATGCAAAGCAAAGTTTGAGTGGACCAGTAGGTTGCTCGAGGTACTTTTCGCAATACAAAATGTTTGTAAATTTTCTTTATGATAACAATTCTTACAGTCAGTAATATGTTTAAAGATTGGAAAAAAATTTCGTGTTATATCCCACCTTTTAATTTGACTTAATACAGGTTTGACATAAAGATATAGATAACAAAAATAAACATATAAATTTGAAACCATAAAACAAAAAAATATGTCGAGCGGTACCGATACTCACACCAAGAGTCATAAATAATATTTTATTTACTTTACAATGGTTTACACAGTGTATTCGATGTATGTACTTCGACACGTCAATACAATTGAACGAATTTGAATTTGTCACACCAATTAAGATCAAAACTTTTTTACATCAATTATAAATATGCAAAGTTACTTTTTTATTTATGTTTGCCTCTTGACGCCTTAATAACTCAATCTCAATAAAATAATATTTGGAATAAATAAGTACATAGACTACTTTTTATCCCGGTCAATAAACGTATTTTTGTAACTCGGACAAAACCGTATGTAAAAACTAGTACGTAATAAAACTAAGTCTACCTTTAAAAGTTGGCAAAATACAAATAATTCACCTTTTAAATGATGCCAAAGTACTGCTAATGAGCAATAATTCTCTTTAGAGAGATTTACTCCCACAGCAGGAGCAGCTAACCGTGATAGATGTCTGAATAGACTGCCCGATACCTACAATAATATATCAATGGAAGACTTCCGAGGATAAAGTGTGTGGGTCACGTACAGAAAGTGTTTTTCGACGGACCCGAGCATTATCTCACGCCAAGGAAAAAGTTCCAACATCTGATCCCTAC